TTCTTTTCAGTTTCTCTAACGTTGATCCTTTTATGTCTTCTGTTTTCGTTTCCTGCTTCGACATTCTAGATTTGCAAGTTTTCTTATGTCTTTTATTTTTTTTCTTTTAAAACATAGTTTTTCTCTTCATCCGACGAGCATTGCCCGTTGTTAAAACGCAAATAATTCAAATTATCTTAATTTTTAATATTTTTCTCTGTCACATTTCTTCTTTCATATTGCTTTCTTGCAAAACAATTTCTACTGTCCTGTCTTCCCACAATTATAACACCTTGTTGGCACATACCTATTTTGTCTCCTTCTTTCTTTAAAAAATCTTAATAGTTTCTTGTATTTTTTTTCGTAATTTTATGTTCAATTTGTCTCGTTATGCTTCTAATTCCTTCTTCTTTCTGCATCATTTGCTTTTTTATGTGAATTTTCTCTTGGGGTTTTCAACGATAGTTTTTCATCCCTCTTTCAACTTAACATTTCTGATAATAAAAACTTTCAACTCATAAGAACCCTTTTCAAACATAAAATGCTTCCATTCTTTTTCGCTGCCCGTGTTTTAGCCAACTCATACTGTAGTAACTCAACCTCAACTAATATTTTGGCCTCCTAATCACAGTCACAACTGTTAACTCCTTGTTTATTGTGTTCGCCGTATCATTGTTCATCATAATGAGGTAAAAATTATACAAATATATAACATTTTTTTCATAAGCTAAATTTTAGGTTTTCAATATTCTTAACAATTTAAGTACAAATAGTACTTAAATGGATACAATATTATTATGTTTTGTAAAAATAAATAAAATTTTATCATATGTTACTACCGTTTAAAAAAAATAATATTTTACAAATTTGAAAAAAGGTTAAAAATTAAACCCGTGTCTTTCTTGTCTTTTTATAATTTACTAGCCAATGCCATCCCGCTTTAAACGTGATTATAAATACAATGTATGCTTTTTTATTAATCTGCGATATTTCTTTGGGTTTGTATGAATTGTTCAAAAGTATAAAATGCACTCTTTATCAATAATTAAATTTTGCAATAGTCACTATTCCGTGATTTAAATTGTTTGATAAAACTAAAGGAAAATGCACAAAAATATTGGCTAATTTTGTGTTGAGGACCCCCTGTTGGATAAATACTTTTTTTATTTTTTTAACACCCCCAAAAAATTCTTAATGATGAAAATTTAAAAAAATGTATGAAATTATAAAAAAGGTTTTTTTTTAAAAAGAGGGTTTACTAAGTATGGTGCTTTTGTTAAACTAAGGACTGCCCCAAAGAATAAAGTACGTTGTACGTGCATCAAATGTAGAGCTGAGCGTAATTTATTTTTAAATACGGCTTTTTAGGGAAAAAAATAGAGCACTTACTAATTTCGAAAGTTCTTAATTTATGTATGGAAAAATTAACACCATTACATATTAGTAAAATATTAGGTGTAGGTACCTCTGTTGTTACAAATATTCTTGGAATAATTTCTTCTGAAATTTTTATTTTAAGTATTTGAAAAGTAAAGATCAATGTTTAGGTGGAAAAGATATAATATTAGAACTGGATGAAAGTAGGTTTGGACGACGTAAATATCATAAAGGACTTTGAATTGATGGAATTTTGGTATTCGGGGTGGTTGAGAGGACTATATACAGGAAAATTGTTTTATTTCCTGTTCCAAATCGAAGTTCTTTATTGTTGAATAAATTAATTTTTAAATTTGCTAATAAAGATACAATTATTTATTCTGATCTTTAGGAAGAGTATAGCAAGGTTGAGACTTGTATGAAAGAACATCATACTGTAAATCATAGTCTTTTTTAAGGATTCAATAAGTAATGTCCATACCAATACAATAGAAGGTAATTGGGAAGCTATTAAAAATCAAACGCCAATAAGATGTAGAACAAAACAGCCAATTTTGCCCTACTTACTTCGTTTTGTGCTATTAAGAAATCATAAAAATTGTTATTTTAAAACTTTAATAAAATTATTACTCTAATTTTATTCGTGTTTTTAAGTGTTAAAAAAATAAAAAAAGTATTTATTCAACAGGTAAGTTCTTAACATAAAAAGCTTTAAATACTGTGCTGTGCTTAAAAAATAACTTAATAGTTGTGTTATTCTTTCTTAATAAAAAATCCAAAAAATTTTATAAAAGTAAGAAAAAAAGGGTTAAAAATTAAATACAAATTTACCTTATCTTTTTAAAAATAGTAGATTGCAAATTAAGATAGAATCAGAAGAGAATAAAGAATGAAATGAATAGTGGATTTTAAAATAATCTATCCCAAGAAGGTAGACATAGGATAAAGAAAATTAATTAAAATTTATTTATTAAAAATTTAGTTGGATATTATAAAAAAAATAATAGCTGCCTATTCCGTGCTACAGGACATAACAAAAGTATAAAAATTGAGTCAATGTCATTATTTTCCTCTAAGTAAGTAATGAAATACCTCCAATAAACTTTTATGTTATATACTATTTATTTTCTGGCAGGTACCTTGGCCGAGTGGTGTAAGGCGCCGGATTACAGCTCCGGAACCCGAAAGGGTGAGTGGGTTCGAATCCCTCAGGTACCATTTTTTGAAGTTACTTGTATTTTGTAATATATCTACATTTTAAAGGATTTATACTTTGTTAAATATTCTATTTAAATTTTACCTTTATATTACTAATGTTATCTTATATTTTGTTAACAGCTTATAGATATATATATCAAAATTTATTTTTGGTTATATTAAAGTTAAAAAATATATAATTTATTCTGTTGGGATCAGCATGTGTCCAATCACGGAGAAGATCAATTATGTGAAACAACACGACTTTAATGTAACGGCTTTGATTGGCACATTGAATATTCTGGCCTTGACATATCAGGACATCTAAGATTTTTGGCTGCCAATAAATATAAAAGAATTTTTTTATCAGGAAGGATGTTTTTAGCTAACACCCACAAATTCTAGTTTCCTTAACAACTATAATTCTGTAAAAATATCATTTTTGCGAAACCAATATACAAATTAATAAAAAAATTTATAAATTTCCTAAATGCTAAAATTATCAGTCTAAAAAAGATAAAGTTTATTTTAGAAAATTTAGTAAAAAAATAGAATTATTTTTAGCGACATTTTTTGGATTAATTCTAAATGCTTAATTTATTATTATACTATACTGCAGATAAACATCTCCCTATACTACTTTTATAATATTTATAAAAAATCTTAAATGTTTTTTGTTTATAAATTAAATATTTTTGTTTCGTATTTAGTTTTTTATATTCTTGTTTTCGTGCTTTATTTAAAATGTACTAAAATTTGATATAAAAAATCTACAATTTTTAGCATTAACGATGATATTGTACAAAAATAGTCGAAAAAACAATAATTTTTTCATTACTGTAAAACTAATAATTATTTAGCATAAACTGCCGCCAACACAACAAAATGTCGCAAGTACACTAGATTCTTGAAATCATAAAAATACAAATATTTAGGTATCATGAAATCTTCAATAATCAGAACATCCGAGAAATATATACAGTTTGATTCAAAAAAAAATATTCTTTTTACAGGTAAAGATAATTTTGATAAATAACTATTGTTTTGATTTATTAAGACAATTTTGCACTACAACTTTTTAAATTTTACAGCTTTTTTGAAGCCAGACTTTAATTATTTTTTTCTGTTTAAAAAAAGAAATATTATAATTTTTAGCTCAAAAGTTACATTTTTTTCCGCCAAAAATATATTTTTTTATTTTATATAATAACCCTGTATACAATTGACTTTGTAAAACAAAATGGAAATTGTTTTGCTTTTCAACCAAAAACTCCCTCGAGTCAAAATCGCAAGAAAATTTAAGATTTTACAAAGTATAGTATCTAAAATTGTAAAAAATATGTAAGAAAAAGACATGGTTGTTTGATCCAAAAGGTTTGGCAGGAAAAAGAAGTTACAAGCTAATGATGTTACAGCCTTACTTACAATTAATAAAAAAAGCCTAAAACATCATTAAGAAAACTATCTATTGAACTGCAAGCAAAGGCCAATCAAAGTTTTTCCTATTCAACTATAAAAAGGACACTTAATAATTATAATATTAGAGCTTTTACTCCAATAAAAAAACCACTCCTTTCAAAAAAAATATTTTGACCCGGTTTTAGAAAAGTGGGGAATTTTTATTATCATTAGATAATAAGATAAAGAAGATAATTTTTTTAGATGAAAGCAAGTTCATCCTTTTTTGCTCTGATGGTAAAGTTTTTGTGTGGCGTGGAGCCGGAGCAGGCCTTAAAACATGTAATTTGTCTGCTATTGTAAAGCATGGTGGAGAGTTAGTAATGGTATGGGGATGTTTTTCATACTTTGTTGTAGAAAACTTGTTTTTATTTGAGGTAAAATGAACGCTGAATACTATGTGAATATTTTATCTAATAATTTACCTTATTCGGCTAGATCAATGAATCTGCAAGATTACATTTTTCAACAAGATAATGATTCCAAGCATACTGCAAAGCCTATAAAGCTGTATTTTGAGTCAGAACAATTTAAATTACTTTCTTGGCTTGCACAATCTTTAGATTAAAATCCAATTAAGACAGTTTGTGCTATTATAAAGCAAAAATTATCACAATATCGCCCTAAATATTTAAATAAATTGAGAGAAGTAATAGTACGTGAATGGCAGCAAATTTCACTAGAATTGTGTCAAAAATTGATTTTAAGCTTTTACAAAAGATCTTTAGCGTGTTTTAGAGCAAAATGAAATTATACTAGATATTAAAATAAAAATATTCTTTTTTTAAAATATTTTTTTTTAATTTATTATTTAAATTAAAACAAAAAAGAACCAAATACGCTGCAAAAACGTACATAAAAAAATTTACAGCTAAAACAAATCATTTTTTAGCATAAATTGGCTTGAATAAAGCTCTGAAGAATATTCTCTTTTTTGAAACATACTGTAGGTACTTAGGTGTTCTTATAAAAAAGAACACTATAGAAGATCATCTTGTTAGTGATGGTGCCTTTAGAGACAAAACAGCTCTAGAAGCATTGAAATTGAAGCTTCTTAACAAAGGTATATGTATTCCCTTTAAGGCAATACTAATAAAATGTGTACTAATCCCTGCTCTCATGTATGGAAGTGGGTTGTGGGGAATGTCTAGTACAAGATCAGGTAGAATTAACAAGATTCTTAAAAAAGCAGTCAGAATGATATTCTGGTCTAAAATAATTCCTTTAGATAGGATATTAGATGAATTTGATATTAATTAAATTCACATACAAGCAGCCTTAAGTAGGTTTAGGGCACTAAGGAAGTGGAAACACAGCAAAACAATGATCGCAAACTTATGAATCGGGGACCAAGAGAATGGAAGACTATGCAGAGTTCAAGGACTCGACGATGGTGTAAAAGGTATGTCGGTCACGACTACGAAAGTATTGACTACAATGTAGGCAAAAACAAAATTGAAGAAATGTCAGAGGTAAAATATCTTTTAACACTACTTTAGCAGCTTCGATATCAGTACAATATGGTATACTTGAATCTCAACTCAAGTTCATAATAATAAAAGTTAACAACAGACAGATAAGGTGCAATTTGATACGATGGTCTCCTGCATTAGCTAATGCACGCAGAATTCCTCAATATTACAGAGAGCACTGCATTCTTTGTGAGGGAGAGCAAGAAATCCTTGAACACTTCTTGCTAGACTGTTCAGTTTTGTCTGAGAAAAGATCTCTTTATGAGAATAAAATTCCAGAGTTGACCTCATCTCTACCAAAAGAGGAGAGAGTTAAGATGATTCTTGGAAACATCCAAAACATCAAAACTTGTCCTATTATGAAAAAGGCTCTGTTGGTATTAAAGGAAAGCATCCCCTTTTTCAAAATTTGTTTTAATACTTTTAAAGGAGTTAATATTTGATGCGTCTTCTAAAATACTAATAGACGCTTCCTAAGACTTTCAGTAGATGATGATTAATTATATGAAAGAGCCAATTAAATAAAGCTATATTTTTTAGGTAGAATTAAACCCTACAGCCTCTTTTAGTAAGAGTTGAATTTCTCGATTAAATGATAGTACAAAGATACATTTTTGTACAACAATAAGTTAGACCCCATGTCTCCTTAGAATAATCTGAGATAGAAGAAGACTGCAATTCAGCGAGAAAAACAGCTAAGTAATTAGCATTAAAAGTTAAACAAATTTGACCTATAAGGAGATTAGCTTAAGTTGCATATTATGCCGTAGCATTCCGCTGGATTGAGTTGTGTCCGTAATGCTGCATTTAATGGGGCATTAACCTCAAATCCTTCTAAGTGTAGGTCTTGATCTTTATGACTGTTAGGTTTAAAAAATCTTACAAGGACTTTTTTCTACTTACAAGTAAGGCACCAATAATACTCTAGTGTGTGTCACGAATTAAATGATTTTAACTTTTGGCGTCTTTAAAGCTTTTTTGGATGACAATAAATTATTTTTATTTTGTGCCTAAAAGTTTGTAGAAGAAAATTAATCTACTTTTTTATATATTATATTTAATCTATTAATATAAGATCAATTTTAAAACAACTATAATTAATACTGGTATCATAATCTTACTTAACTCATGTAAATTATTAATAAAAAATCACAATTTGTTTACACAATAAACCATAGTATAGGCTTCTGACCTTTCCTGCATATTTATATTATTTAGCCCCTCTAATAATCTTTGTCTTTATTTTCATTTGTTAATTTTATTAAATATATTTAAAAAATTTCTTCGTTAAAGGCAAGCATTTGCACATGAAGAAATACAAAAATTTACAAAAACACCTTGTGTTCCACTCTGTTCTGAAACATGACAATGTGAAGCAAATTAAAACATTGTTTCTTAAAAGTAAAACTGTTTCATCTGTTAAACAAATAAATAAAAAATGTCTCCTCTCATATGAAAAAATTGTTATATCCTCTACTTGTATTTATAACTTGTATAAGCGCCACATTTAACAACATATGTAATCCTGATGTAAATGAAAATATGTGTTCTACTCAATGGCCAGTAGGAAGTCAACGGCTAGAAAATTACATGGCTACTGATGTATCAAAAAATATACTTCAAGGTAAACAACAATGTATTAAGCCTCATAATGAAACAGATGAGTGTTTTCAGCAACATTTTTATGACAAACAAATGTATTTACCTTCAAATATTAATCCGCTAACTCGACCTTCGTACGAACAACAAACACCTAATCTTGGATGTTTAAACCAGAATACTTATCCTACACCTGTACAGCCACGCCCCTTTTATGAACAACAAGCCCAGTTACCATCATTTATACAACCAACAACAAGAGCTGTAATTCAGCAGCCAGTACAATTACCATCATATGTACAACCAATTCAACCAACTACACGGCCTGCATGTCAACCCAATCCTCAGGTTTCCTTTGTGCAACCTCAACAAGTAAGTATCCAACCACAAACTTTCAACCCACCTCCTCAAGCACTCATTCCTCAACAAATGCCTATACAATACTCACCCCAATGTTATAAACAGCCTCAACAGAATTTTTCTTGTCAAGTACCACCACAACAATCTTTTAACACGTGTAAACCTAGACAAGAATGCCGTTCATATCAGCCCTGTACACGTGAATCACAACAAATACAAGATTTCAGATGTGATATAAATGAACCAGAATACAACAGATTCAGTGAATCATGCACACCCTATTCAGATTATTCGTATGACTACGATAGACCATATAAATCTAATAGAAAAAGAAGGAAAAATTACAAGAAATATCAAGACGATGATGATTCTTCATCTGAAAGATCTAGTCGAAGGAGTTCGAAAGATGTAAAAAAATTATTAAAAAACGCATTTTACATTGTCGACCCGAAATCTCAACTCCATTATCAAATACAAGACAGTGTTAAAAGAGCAGAAAAAGTTATGCTAGTTGGAAATAATGGCAATGGAAGATATAGAAATCGTCTTATGGATAATGACGATGATGACGAAGGCACACAAAACATATTTCAAGACACTAAATTTTCACCAAATAGGAGCAGATTAAATAATAGAAAATTAAAAAGTAAATTGTTATCAAGTTTACGCGAAAATAAAATATTAAAAAATGAATTAAAAAAAAGCAAGAAAAAAGAAAAAATTTCTACAAAAATTAAAGCTAAAAAACAGCAGCTAGAAAATGATAGTGATGAAGAAATTGCTGCAGATTTAATTGATGATGAAAAACAAGAAAATTTACAAATAGATACTAAACAAAAATCTAAATTGAAGGGCGAAAAAACACTTACACAAAATTTAATAGATGACAAAGAAAACTTGGCAGATGAAAAAGAAAATTTGGTAGATGATAAAGAAAAACAGGAAGACAACACAGACCTTATTAATGATGATGATTAAACAAAAAAATTACCAATCAATATTTAAGTACACCATTAAATTTATTCTATTTTACATTAAACCTACTATTTTAAACTATCATCCGTTTTAAAAATCCATCCTACAGATTCACACCAATCACTTGTTTTATCACCAACATGTAAAACAGGATCTGTGTGATTTTTCAATTTATGTTCTTTCAAACAAGTTTCAAATTTTTGTTCTGCATAGCTCAGATGTTTAAAATATTTAGAATAGTACATTTTCAAATCTTTACTATTTTTAGAAGTGAAATGTACAGACATTGTAATCCAATTTTTATTAAAAAATGGATAGTAAATCGCAAATATTTGTCTCTCATCAATAGACCAGTCATCTAAAATTGAAGATGATATTCGTTTTGTTTTTATAGTTTTATTTTTTAAGTACCATCTAAGGTATAATTTTAAATCTTTAATCGATTTTGGTAAAATTGTCTGATATTTTATTAATATTTTACCAAATTTAACATAATTTTCATCGAATATTTTTTTCTCTAGATCTGTCCATGTACCAAGAATGTATGCATCACATTCTTTATCACTTATTCTTCCACCTTTCTTTTTAATATAATTATAAGTTTTATCTTTGTTATTATAATATCTATAAATAATTTCTTTTCTAGTCCTTTCTGAAAATTCTTTATGTATTAAATTGAAATTATTTTTATATTTTAGTACAGAATGCTTAAATTTATTTTTTTCAGTTTCTGTCCAGAAAGTTTCTTTTAAAAGTTCTAATTTGCAAATGTGCGGTTTATGTTTTTTTGTATAAATATTCTTTTTTTCTTCTTTTAATAATTTTTGAGTGGCCAAATTCATTTTTCCTTTTTCTAAAATAATTGCTTCTGTTTTTTCTACGTAATCTTTTACACTTTCACACGTTTTATAAAAATTTGGATTGGTTTTTTTTAAAAAAAATAATAATCTTTTATCTGAACTGATATCAGATAAACGTGTAGTAGATTGTTCTTCACTAATAAGAGAAGAACGTATAGTAGATTTTTCATCACTAAAAATATCAGAAGATGTATTTTTACATTTTGTATCTATTTTTACAGATTTTTTCTTAGTTGCGATTTTATAAGTTTTTGTATGTGTTTCTATTTCGTTATTTTCTAGCATTGCGAATTCTAAAGCTATGTTATTTATTTCTACAGGATTTATCTCAATAAACTCATTTTCTTGTAAATTATTCAATCTGATAAGATTTTTATCAAAATTTTCTATTTTCAGATTCACTGCCTCTTCACAACTTTCATCAATAAATGGTTGTGGCCTGTAAAAAAGATTGTTATAAGTTATTTCGTGCTGTTTAAAATATTTTATAACTTCTTCATTAATATTATCAACTTCTATTTCTAACTTTCTTTTTTTATTAATCATCTCTACAGGGGCTATAGAAAAATATTTCACATTGCCGAATAAATAATCTTTATTTTTATCTTTCATTTAATTTATTTTACTTGTTTACTCAAAAATATTTCTGTTTTATGTTGTGTAAACAATTCATACACTCCTTGTAAAATAATATTTTAAAATACTAGTAATTATGCCTCTAAATAAATTTACGTGTATTTTTTTGTATTTTTGTAAAGACTACAATATCTTTCATGGGTTACATATTATTTTATATTATCCCTTAAATTTATTCTATTTTATTCACCCATAAATATTGATAAATATTTTGATATTTTTTTCTCCTTCTTTATTTTATGTAAATATTTTGATATTTTTCTTCTTCTTTATTTTATGCTATTTTATTTTACCCATGAAAGATAAACAAATTATTAAATTAAAAAAGTGGAATTTAGTAGGATTGTGGTCACTTGACATGCAAGTGGAGACATGTGCAATATGTAGGAATCATATTATGGATTCATGTGTAGAGTGTCAAAATGGTCTATTAAATGAAGAAGCATGTAGTGTTTCATGGGGTACATGTAATCATGCTTTCCATTCTCATTGCATATCAAGATGGCTTATATCAAAGAATGTATGTCCTTTAGATACTAAGCCATGGGTTTATTATCAGCCAAAACAAGATACTTCTGATTCAACACTTAATGTTAAATATTATCAATAAACATTTTATATACTGTTATTATAAATAAATTTATTTGGGTATAATAAGATTTTCTAAGGGGTCTATATTGGCTAGTTTCTCAAGTAGCTTTTGCCCTTTCTGCATTTCAACCTTCATTTTTTTGATGTTTTTTATAAATCTATTTAACTTTATTAAATAAAAATTATAACAACTAACTTTTACAATATAATTCTACAAGTTAAAATATAAACATAAATTTAATGATTAGAGTTTTTATAATTTTTTGTATAAATATTTTCTATAAGGTCTTTAAATAAATGTATTGGTGCTATTAATAAAAAAGAATATTTATGTTTTACTTAAATTTATTAAATATAAATCATTTAAAAAATTAATGTTTAATGATATAAAATAATTATAGAGTAAAACAAGCATCTTAATTAAATTTAAAAAATTTATATTTTTTTAATTAAAAAATGATGAAGACAACCCTTAGAATAAAAAAAATAGATTACTTTTAGCAATTTTATGAATTTAAAAATACAAGTTTGTATATAAAAAATTTATTGAATATTAAGATGTATTTTTATAAATAACCTTAGTACCTTAAATTAAGTTATTAATTAAAATTACATTAAAGAAATGGTTTATACAAACTTTTAATTTAATCACTAGTAAGAAATACATACTTTTATAATTAATAATTTTTTATTCTTTTATAAGATCATTATCTTCTTAAATATTTTATTAACAACCTTCCTACACTTTAATAATTATATATAAAACATCTATTAACTGTACAATCTTCTATAAACATTAAGTTTATCTTATTTTACACATAACTCTATTTTTACCCTTAAATGGATGAGAGTGATGTTGAAATGGATACAGTTTTCGATGACAACATTAAAATAAAGAAAACATTCCTACAAGATAAAACTAATATAGAAAATAAATCTATAAAAAAATCAAAGAATAAAGAAATTATTTTTAGCATAAATAAGGAAAATGCAATGAACAGTCAAGATATTTTAAAAAAATACAAAATAAGTTTTGATTATGAAAAAGATAAAAAAACAAATGATCTTTATAAAAAGTGGACAGAAGATATTTCTGATAAGTTGTATATATCTACAGATGTTAATAAAGAACCTTACAATAATTTTATGAATAAACTTAACAAAGATGCTAATAGGAAAAATGTATTAAAAGAAATATTAGAAAATAATAATGAAGAATATTACAATAAAGATACAAATAAAAAAAATATATTTAAAGAAACATTAAAAGATAATAAAAAAAATTCATTAATTCAAGAAGATACAAAATATTACAATAAAGATACTAATAGAAAAAATATATTTAAAGAAACATTAAAAGATAATAATAAAGAATATTACAATGTAATAAATAATAAAGATACTAATAGAAATTATGTATCTAATGAGATATTAAAAAATAATAAAGAAAGTTCATTAATTGAAGAAGATACAGAATATTACAATGTAATAAATAAACAAACTTTTAACAAACATCTTGAAGTAAATGACATGCCTTACAAAACAATAAAAAATGATAAATTAAATAATATTTACACCGGTGATGATATAGATAATGCATCTAATACAATTATTTATGAGATACAAAAAGAATTTAATGAACTTAAAGAATCTCATAAGGTTATGTTACAGATCCGTAATAAACTTCTAGTTCTAATAGAAAAAGAGGTACAATTTATAAAAAAAGAAATAACTGATAATAAAAATATAGAAATATTAGAATTAGAAAATAAATACAAAACAGAATTAGAAAAATTAAAATGTGAAAGGGATTATCACAAAGAAAGATTTAATAAATATAAAATATTTTGTAAAAATAAGGTACTAGAATATAAAAAAAAGGTAGATGATTTTTACAGAACAGGAAGATAATAAGGTTTTAAATACAAATGTCTTTAAATTATCAATTTTTTTAAATTAAAAAATATAAATTAATGCAGCATGAATTAAGAAATATTTTCTGATGATATTTTTATAAATTAAAAATATATTTATATTTACATTGTTTCATTTTATGATCCTATTAAAGAAAGATAATAAAATTTATAAAGAAATAGATGTACATACACTTGATCCAATATCACTTGATTCTTATAAAAATATTATAGAAAATGATAAATTAATTCTTTGTATATTAATTTGTAATACTACTAGATATGTTTATAGAGCTACAGATATAATTGAAATGAGGTATAGTATAATGTTTAATACTATACATGTATATTTATTAAAAGATCCTATTAGTAGAGAAGAAGTAAAAGATGTATATTATTTTATGAGTAAATTAAATAAAAATGATGTATTGTGTAATAATAAAGAAGAACTGTGTAATAAAAGAGAAATATTATTTAATAAAGATGAAATATCTTTTAATAATAAAAAGAAAATATCTAGTAAAAATATTATAAGAATATTTGATTATGTTTGTAATGAAAGAGAATTATTTCAAAATGAAAAATATAAGAAAATTATTCTAAATTATGAATATAAAGAAGATAAAGTATGTGTATATGTAATTATTATACTGGGAATATTTGGGTTATGTATGATGTTTATGTTAGTGTTTAGAATAATAGTAAATTAAATAAACAAGAGATATGATTTTAATATAAAACATAATAATTTACATTTAATGTAAAAAAAAGAAGAAATATTAAAAAAATATTGGACAAATAAACATGCGATAAAAAATTAACGTGTAATAAATAGTAAACCGCGATAAAAATTAATATGTGATAAGAAATATTGAACAGAAAAAATAAACAGCCATTAAAAAATTAACATGCGATAAAAAATTAATGTGTAATAAAAAGTAAACGCGCGATAAAAATTAATATGCGATAATAATAAACGCGCGATAAAAATAAACATGCGACAAAAATAAACATGCGACAGGAAATATTAGACAAAAAAAATTAATATGCGACAAGAAGCATTAGACAAAAAATATTGAACAAAAAAAATAACATTAAATTACTGACTATTCAAATATTAACCCAGGCACATCAATATCTTCCCCCTCTTCATATTCATCACTAACATCATCAATATTAAAATCATTTTCTATCAATTTACGCCTTTCTAAAAGTGCACTTAAAAGTACTGCTTCTTCATCTTTTTTCTTTTTTTTTAGTGCTTTTTTTCTTCGCATCATTATACTCTCAATCTCAGAATCTATTTCTCTTATCATTTCAAATGCCAAAATGTGTTTAAGTTTCTTCTTAATAATATTTAGTATTTGTTTCTTTCTTTTATTATTAATTTCTATTTGTTTACATAACATTTTACTTGAAGTGTTTTTTAAAGATTCAGGTACATGTCTGTCATTACATCCTAAAATTAAATGATATAAAAGATCAGGGTGATATACATCAGGTTGTAAATATTTGGAGGGAGTAAGAACAGAAAAAGTGTCTTTATCAACCTTTTTTAGATATTTTGAGATGTATTCTACAAATTCATTACAGTTAATTTGTCCTGATTTGCATGTTTTTTTTGATGGTTCGATTTTGTAATTATTTAAATTTTTATGCATAAAAAAGGGAGGAGAAAATATTTGAAATAGCATAAAAAATATTAAATATTTTACATAACTTTAAAAATATTAGATATTTTACATGGAATAAAAAATATTAAATATTTTACATAGTATAAAAAAAGGGAAAAGAAAAATGTTGGGATAAATAAGGGTTTATTTAATAATTATTATTAACATAACAGACATGTCAAAGCCATTAACCCAATACTGCTGATCGACATGTCTACATCTTTACTGTCCTACAAAAATATTTTAATGTTTTGCATAACTTAATAAAAGGGAGGAGAAAATAGTGCAATATTTTACATAACTTAAAAAATAGTACAATATTTTATATTGCATGATAAACCAATTTCTTACATATCCTTAACTACCAGAATAGGTCTAACTCTACACACAGTCCTACTTAACTTATTAAGTTCACTACATTTCACTACTTCATCAATATTCTTATAACATTCTGGTGCTTCTTCTACTATTCCTAATTTACTACCACTTTTAATTTTAATATTCCTTTTATGCAAATCTTTTACAATCTCATCGTGTTTAAAAAGCTTCTTAGATTCTCCCCTAGGAATAATTCTACCAGATCCATGACAAGTACTTCTATAAGTTTTTATACAATCATCCCCACAAATAATATATGATGCTGTACCCATAGATCCTCCTACAAGAACAGGCTGTCCTATTTCTTTATATTTGTAAGGTAACTCAATATTACCAGGCTCTAAAATTCTACTAGCCCCTTTTCTAATCACCAAAGAATTTAAATCTGTTTCTATTTTAGCTATGTTATGACTAGTGTCATATATTAATTCTGTTTCTAAATAAGGAAATATTCTTTTTAAAGATTTAATAACCTTTTCTTGTATCATTGCTCTATTCCCAAATGCATAATTACATGCACTTGCCATTGCATTCATGTATTCAATAGACAGTTTATTATCGGCACGTAAATATACTGACTCATTAATAGAAATATTTGAATCTTTTAAAAATCCTCCATTATTTTTTAATTTAACTTCATTATTAAATTTAATTAAACTTTCTTTACACACAGAATGTCCTAGTCCTCTACTACCACTGTGTATAGAAATAACAATCTGATTTTCTCTAAGATTTAATATATTACATCTCTCTCTGTCAAATACTTTATCTACATATTCTATTTCTAAGTAATGATTTCCACTACCAAGAGATCCAAATTGATTTACTCCCTTCCCTTTACTTTTCTGACTAATCTTTCTACTACAACCTTTGTAATTACCATTTGATTCTGTAAATTCTAAATTGTCAGGTGTTATAAATTGTTTCTTTACTAAATATTCTAATCCACAATCTAATACACCATTAAGATCTTCTAATGATATTTCTGTAGGACTACAATCTATTTCTTCTAATATTTTATCTAAATCTTTTAGATCTTCTAACATTAAATTAGTTTTTATGCATCTTACACCACAATTAATGTCATATCCAACACCACCCGGTAAAATAATAGGATTATCATTCAAATCAAAACATGTAACAGATCCAATAGGAAAAACATAACCAGTATGTAGATCTGGTAATCCAATTACACTCTTTGATACACTTGGTAATTTAGTAATATCAGTAAGTTGAGTAATAAGATTATTGTCATTTATTATTGTATCTTGTAGTGATGTACTGGCATAAATAATACAATCTGTATTCATGTTATTTGCATAATCTTTAGAAATTGTAATATTAAGATCTGAAATGTTAATCATTAGGGCAAAAAAATGTGAAATAATTTAAAGTAAAATATAGGACTGTTAATTATTTAAATACTAAATGGCATGAGATGTAAGAAATGTTGTAGAAATCAAAGAAACACTTGAAAAGATCTCATAATATCTAGGAGATGGTTTAACTCGTCTTTATTAAATAATTATTGAATTTATGCTTTACTTAAATAAATGTATTCTTATAAAATAAAATATTTTTTTATACCCCATCTTCACACCCAAACAAAGGATTCTTATACATCTTTGATGTCTAACCTTTTTATTTATACTTCAATATTCCTCAAGAACCTTTTTATAGTATTTAAAGTTTCGATCTTGTACTATTATGTTTGCAGTGGTGAAGTTTTTTTATAATTTTTTACATAAGTGCATGAATGAGGAAAACAAGGCATTTCAAAAATTTAAACTTGGTCTTTTTAGCAAGGTCAAAAGATCAGAGACTGTTCTAGAGTTTACTGACAATGAAATAAGTATATTTGATGAATGGAGTGTTGATGAATTGTTTAATTAAAATTTATATGTAAAGTTATATTGGTTTTTTATTTGTTTACTAGCTTGCGCTATCCCGTTTAAAACGGGTCGATTACAAATATAATGTGTGCTCTTTCTTTTTAATGGATTTAATACGCCATTTGTATGTACTTATTTTATTATTTTTATTTACAAAGTGACTTTTTCTATTATAAATTGAAATACTCTATAGACACCTTGTATAAAATTAAATAAAAGTGCACAAAAACACCGTTTCGTGCTTAGAGAAATAAATTTTAAAATGATGCTACTTATTCTTAATAAAAATACAAAGAATTTTATAAATTTTTAAAAAAAGGGGTTAAAAAATAAAAAATATTCAGATTCAAACTTTTTATATACAGTGCGCGTCAAAATCTTAAGACACCTAAAAAAAATTTTTCCGTGCAAAATCAAATAAGATACAATTCTAAAATCATAATTCGTGTTTACACGCAGTAATTAAAATAATTTACAAATACTTTTTATTAAATCTTATTTTATATATGTCTAATCTGGTTTTTGGATTTTTTTGTCTTAAGAGGTGCGTCAAAATCTTAAGACATTCCCCCCCAAAAAAAAACACGTTTTATAGAATTGTAAATATTACATTCGTTTTATTTTGTTCCAATAAACTACTGCAGGATTTTATTTTTATAATATAAGCTACTTAAAAACGCTTATAAAAAATAATTAGTCTTACAATTAAATGGGACGTCTCATTTTACTCAAATTTAAAATACAAGCATATGCTTAAAATGATAATATCTGTTATTAAATATTTTTGGATTAAGAAAAGTGAATTTAAATTTCTTTAACTTTTCTCAGGGCCATGATGGTTTTGATGTTTTTTAAAAAAAAAGTAATTTAAA